CTTATATCGCTGCTTTTTTGAAATTACCACCCCCATTCATGCACTAGGGAGGGGGAAGGGGAGAAGAGGGGACAGCGACAGAGTGATTTTGAAGGTGCTGTCTATGAAAACCTGATGGCAGCGAGTGTGATCGCTCCCTAGGGGCGTGGCTAAAATTCTTCTCGCAAGGGACGTGTATGAACGCAAAGGCTTCAAGGCAACGCGCTCCTCTTCGAGTCGCTATTAGAGCGGAAAATTGAAGGCTCGGTCCGCGTTCAGGCATACAAGTTGAAATCAAGGCGTCGGGAGGGCAGCGTGATCCATGGCGAACAACCTTGTACCGGTTTCGCGCAAAAAATTGTAAGGGAGAGGCGCTATAGCGCAATATAGGTTCAGTGACGCCTCCTTTTTTCCAGTGACTCCGCCTCCAGACTCCGCCTTCAAGGCCCGCCTTTCAGTGAAAACGAAGCTGCAGGACGAAAAAGCATGAAAATCGTCACTTGTACGGTCGTAGAGTTCTTATCGGGGAATCAGCTGTGCGGATGAGGGCGTAGTGTTGAAGATGGAGTTAACTGGGCACGTACAAATTGGGATCGAAATGGGGTTCTATCTAGGGCAGTGGCATGTTTTTTCTGCTTTTTTTTTCTTCACTATCGAGTTACTCAGAACCTTGTCGTCTATATGCAAACCCCTAATCCACTATCTGTGATGGCGAATGATCGCGGGCTTTGCCTTCAAACGCGGTTCATCGCCGTGACATACACTGCTGCATGAAGGGTGATATGGTACATTTACACTATGATGCATCCGAATTCTCTCTCCCTTCTCCTCCCAAGGCAGAAGCACCACCATGTTTCCTTAAGAAACTCAACAATATGCACATTTGGAATTTCTCTTCAAATTTCCATGTTGAAACACAATCTTTGGCTTAGTTCGGCTAACAGGGGATACCAAGTGGTACTTAGCAAAACTGATTCAGGGCCCCTCGTAGAGATCTGTCAAATCCTGTCGTTTGAGGTGTCTATTTATATCCATTTCCTTGTTTGCTCGACAGAAAACAGCGAGTGTTATCACGAAGAGACTTGCTCAATTAACATGACTGATGCCAAAAGGAACTGCATGCCAAAAGTAAATTGCTTCTCCTGAGCTCAACACGCCCTTATTTACCAATGCTGCCAACATAATAAAATAAATAAATAAACAAATAAATAATAGTAAAATACTTGACATCAAGCAATATTCTATGATTTTTCGACTTTCACTACCAAAACTCACTGCGTCCACCATGGCCGTAACGTGTTTATTGACGGTTTCTGGATCGAGAGTGGCCGACACACCAGACGCCCACTTCAGCAAACACTACGCGATAACTCCGTTGAAAACTAAAAACCAGGAAAACATCGAGTCTGCTCAAGGCATCGCATCATATAAAAATAGAAATATATGCGATGTAGACGAGATTGCGCTCACACGCATCAAACGTTCGTAGCTACCCTCCGAAGTGACACTCATAAATATCTTCGTCTTATAACGGATGTCCAAAGATACCTACGAGATCTCCTTTATTTTTTTCAACTGCCACTATTAACTTTAAGAATAATAAAACATGTATAACGTAGCAAATAGATACGATTAAAGGCAGCTTTTTACGCACTCATATGTGCGCAGAAGTCGTGAACAATGGTCTGGTTCCACTGAAACCATATCGAAACAAATGGATGTGTTTACATCCGTGGCTTAAAAAACATGAGATAAACGCTGAGGGTTCGGGATGACATGCAAATACTCCGACATTGGCTGCCATGCAACACTTCAGCGTTCATGTTTCGAAGCTTCTGGGTGCACGGTTGCTCGCTAATACAGTGTAGTGTTCGCTGCGAAAACGTGGGCGTGCAGGTGCGGAAATATGTAAGTTTGGCGGCGGTGGCCGAACTTATCCACAAGCTGTTAAAGCGAGCAAGTGACAAGACTGTGTCATTCGTTCGTATCACTCGTTTCCCAACAACTGTTGTCGCGTACCTGCTTCAACAACTGGCACAGAACGGGTTTTTCACGCGTGCCAGCCTCACGACTGCCTGACACGCCCCACGTTCGAAACTACTACTATAACTCTTCCTCATTCCGGTGGCCTATAGGGTGAGGTGTAGGAGAAAGACCTGTGTCGTTTGACCCCACCCAGTGAGCACTCATCCAAGCACGCCTTCTCTTCGCCTCATGCTTGTGCATTCTTTTCGAAGTGAGTAGGTCTCCCTTTTGGCAGCCTAAAGAATGGCAGAAAAGTTCGGAAAGGTCAGAACGCTCAGAAAGAACAGTCGCGTTAATGCCCTCCATGCGCTTTGCAAAAATTGGGGCGAAGCCGCATGTGTGATTGGTATTTCAACCTTTCAATTGCGTGTGTGTACAGAAATTTGCAAACAAGGTCAAGAAGTTGTATATTAAATAGCTTTGAAAATATCATGAATAGGGCTGGAAGTTGTGTGTGAGCTTTGCGGCCCATTACTGGGTTTGCTGTGAAGAAATTGTTTAATTTTGGTGCGAACATTTAACTATAAGTGAAAATGGTATAATGAGTGAGACTGAATAATACATTACAATGCTTTCAAAATCATAAACACTCCTCGCATACCTCGCATACCTTGAGCGTGTTGATCAGGTCCAAATTCGCTTCTGGAAAATTATGCTGCCGTTGGTTGAAGATCATAAAATGGGAAAGTAACGTTGCGAGGCGGTACAACCTGAAAATGTAGGTAGATAGTGACGACCACGATCTTGACCGCGCTGAAAAGTGGGCGTGGCTGCCGGGTGTGAACTACAGGATCACCTTAGATGCAGCTCCAAGATAACCTCCGCCTCTCCTGCCTTGAACAGAAGCTTAGTTGTTTTGGCTCTTGTTTCAGTCACAGATACCAATTTGTATTAGGATAAATGAGATGCCGTAAGAGTAGCGTAAAGTCGTGAAGCGGAGTCGCGCATAACTGCCAGGTGAAGGACCGTCATCTAGCGCTCTATTTGCGCATTATGGTAGAACAGACCGGTAAGTTATCATCTGTCTGTGATAAGGCGCTCGAAGCCCGAAAGTGGTGCATTGGCGTACCACTTTTTTCTCACATTTGATGACCGAAACTTCGGACCAATTCCTTCTCAAGTCAGCGCAGCTTCATAGCCGGGTAAAAGCCGCTAGACAAGCCCGGAAGGATAAAAGCGCCTAATTGAAAACAGTTGTCCATCGCGTAATAAACACGTTGCGATTGCGAGTAATACACAGTCAAAAGCCTGCGCGATAGGCAATGGAAGTCGAGTGAATGGCGCGTCGCACAAAAGTTTATCAGAACCAACAGCTTTACCCTCCGTAGATTCCTGACTCTTCTCAGCGTCACGCGGAAAGTTCAAAGGGAGAACCGAGGATTACTCACCTTCGCAGACTGATAGTCATCGTCTTGTCGAAGTTCGAACCGCAACATGTGGCAGCAACGAGGTCTTTCAAATGAACGCCTCTGAAAGAGATTTGTAATTGTTGAATGGAGGGAGCTTGGCTTGTCCTGTGTCTGTCTAACCATAGAACCCGGGTATGGACTTCGGGATCGTCCGCAAGTCAGCACAAACTCCCATGTAGGAACAGTGAGCCCCTTAACGGTTAGTATCGCTGAAATTGTGCGTCTCCGAGTCAACCGGCTAAATTAGTTAAACAGGAGACCTGAGACCACTGCGATTCGCCATGAGCTGCAGAGATACAGTATTTGGAATTTGCCGTACGGCCCGAAACCTAGAATGCGTTCCCGTTCAAAACCACATCACCATGGCCTGAATCACACTCAAGATGCGTTGTACGCAGTATCACAGGAGGGGTAGGTCGTATTTACGTGCTGGAGGGAGGGAAATTTGCCTTCAAAATAAAAATGATTCCGGTCGCTGAGCTATCCCTATTTAACGTGTGATACAAACCCACCATGCCGCCCACCACCTCGCAGGATGCAGTTTTTCGAGGCAATAGTGGGGACGTTTTCGCGTTGAAAATAAAACTATGGTAAAAAATGTAGGATAAGTTGGAGAAAATTACGAGAGACGTTAGGTAGGCATAGCGGTCGCACCTGAGCAGGCCAATTTTTTTGGGGAGGTCTTATTTCATAAATTTCCGTCAAACAGGCAAGACGTGCCATGGTCACAACCCGCTGGTGTATGGCGGAGACACGCTAATATTCTGTTGCTCTCGAAGATGTATCACTCCACTTCATCCCCCACGAGAAGGATGGTGGGCGACCAATGTGAACTGTTCCTTTATTTAATATTCAACACTTGAGAGGACGGAGGATTCAAGACGCTCACATTTTCCATTGTTAGGGGTGTGAAATTTAAAAAAAAGCAAAATGAAGGTTCTGAGCAGTGATTTCGATGGACTCATAATATGTTCGAAATTCGACGCAAAAGAACAACTCACATAATTGGAATCCTAAAGTGTGATCCTAAACTACTCAATGCCTTTCTGTACTCGCCAAAATTCGATTGAACAGAGAGCAAATTCGTGAGCGAATTCAATTCCTGAAAGTAATCGACACTCCAGCCACACATTTTTCTTTTGTCAATTGTCAAAAAACGAGAAAGCGGATGAATAGTGCAAAAAAATGTCATTATAATCAAAGGTAAGAAGCTAACACTCCTTGATTGATTTTAACTAAAATTTTCTACTATGGATTGCCACCCATCACTAATAGAATATTTGAAGGCATATGGCACGATAACTTGGAACATGCTTAGAAAAATAGCAGGGTGCTAAATAGCAGGGTGCTACATAGTGGGAAAAATGACGAGGAAGCGAAGCAAAACGGCCAATCTACGAGAAAGCCTTCGTTCTGCACGGCATTGGACGAGTATTTTTGGACGAGCTCCCCGGTGGCTTTGTCAGCAGCCGCCCCTATAGATCCGGCTGCGCATGTACATTGATATATCCATGCAACGCTTCATATCGAATGCGCTGCATAACTGAAGCGATGAGAGAACCAGCGTTCCATGTGACCGTCCGGCCATTTGTGGGCGGGTTGCTGAACGGTGCCTTTGGTTGGAAAAGGCACCACGCAGCCTGCTAAGAGGCACAATATTCTTTCGTGCTAAACGTGACGACCCTGTATGCATGTAGATGTATCGCGCCACTTGCCGTTAACCTTCCCTTGTATTACGTGAATGCAGGACAGTAGGTTCAAAGTTGCGACAACACATCGAAATTAGGTCAATGCGCTCGGCGACACCGTTGTGACTTCCTCTTTGTACTGCGTATATTGTCGTCCAGGCGACCCCACTTGCAGCTTTCCGCCCAGCATGAACCTCCTAACCAACACCAGGCTGAGCGGCAGGCACTCTCGAACTGCTTACATTCCCCAACTGAAGCTTGCAAAAAAGTCTGTATGGGAAAACAGTCAAAAAGGATTCCTTCCTAACACAATCCAGCTTATATTATAGTACTACTGATTTTTTGACGGCTCCCAGTGGTGCAACTTTCTCATTAGATCATGCAATATCAGAGGGTTCCTGAGTTTCATTGATTCATATGTTTTCTTTGTGGTGCATATAATGAAACTCTTTCCAGTCCTTTATTCAGACGACGTTTCGGGCCGTAAGCCCTTCTTCAGGTCTACAAACATCAATTATATTGTCTACACCAACATCATCTAATTATATACATACATAACAGAAATCCAAAAGAGGGAACAGTCAATTAACAACTGACCGGATTCCTATGGAAAGGAGGGTCTGGGGTAGGAGTGGGTGCGGGAGTTTGCTGCAAGATGGTCTTGGATGTAATGGCAAACAGTGACACGAAACATTGACTCACCTCCTAGCTAGTTCGGCGAAACAGGGATGAGATGGTGATAGTTGATACCCTGTCATTTGTCATATGTTTGCCACAAAGAAAACTTAATTAATTTTTTCCTTTCTTCCTTCTTCGGGTTCCTGAACCAAATCTTC